CATGAGGTTCCCCTCCACCCAACTCTCCAGTTTGTCCAGATCACTAGGTCAGTACTAGGCCCTCATCTAAAACACAGCCCTCCCAGTTAGATTCCTGATAACATAACCATTCAAAATGCTGCTGCAGAAGTATTTGAAGTAAAATTAAATGATCTGCTGAGATTTACTTTGATAGAACATGGCACTCTTCAGTGACTTCTGGGCTATGGATGATGCTGCTCAGCCCTGGAAAGTTGCTGACTTAAACAGAGAGTCAAAGTTCAATATGGAAATAAGAATGTATAAAATATAAAAAACATAATAAAAAGTATATCATATACAGAAATGAAATAAAAGCTCTTTATAGATGTGTGAAGTTTACAGGAAAACCATGTGAAATACCCTTGCTAACAGTGGAGAGTAAAAAATGGCCCAAGTAGGAGAGCAAATTTGTGTTGTACTTGGAAATGGAAGTAATCAAAGAGATGATGTAGCTCTTATATTTACATTGTATAGGAAGAACCTGTTAACATCAGAGAGGTGTGGCTGCATTTATCAGTTTGCAAAACTTACAAAGGTTGCTTGGAATGACAAAAGTTCCTTGAGATAAAAAGTTGTGGAAAAGGCCTTGTAATCGTCACCATATGGGTGGTGCAAATGCAAATACACAGGCTGGGCTGTCCTATGACCTCTGCATTGAAAAGAAATGTTTTGGGTGAACAGTGCTACGGGAAATCAGATCAGCAGCAAAATTTCCTTATTTCAGCAGTTATTCATCAATAAATATCCCTGTTTGACAAAACAGCTAATGTGATATAACAAAAAATTACACTATCTTAATGTTCTTCAGACAACTTTTCCTTGCCTTATTCACCTTCCTATACAAATTTCTGAGTTTCTAGCAGTGTTTTCATTAGCAACAGCAAATACCCATTTTCTTTATAAAAACTGGCTTCAGCGGTCATATGAACTGCTTGTTTGTTCATGTGAATGCCCTGCAATGAACCAGGAAACTTATCAAAAAATACTTGATCATATAATCATTGCTGCCTAGATAAATGTGTCAGCTCTGTTTAGTAAAAACTGAAAGAGAACAACCCACTCTAGCAGATGTGAAAAGGTGCTTTTGTTCAGGATGTCTCAAAGACAGAATGGAAGGTTGGTTTTAGTTGTTAGTTTTTAGTTTTAGTTACCCATCTTAATAAATGGGTAAAATGGTAAATTCTATAAATCCCACAGGATGGGGGGCCAACTTCAGACACTATTGCCTATTAACCTAAATTATGTTTCTAGTCAATGGGGAGAGAAAGGTATTTCTTCAGACTGTATGACCAACATACATTGTCTGCAGAGGTGGTCTTTCTCTCCAAAGCAGTCTCAGCTCCCAATGTGCCTGAAACTAGTAACATGTACTTCACCCTGGTGCTTCCCCTGATGAGGAAACTATGACATAGCCAAAAGAAACAGCACCTAATGCCTGTGTTTTAACCTCTTGTATCGCAAATAAAACACACTGTATATCTTGGAGTGGGATGGTGTCAAGGCTTGAGCATTCACAGCCAAATTCTGTGTTAGAAAAAGGGGACATGGGAGGGACGCATCTGAGGGGTCCAAAGAGCATCTTCTATGGACTTCCACAACTGATGCTTTTCATACACCAGACAGGGGGTTTCTTGAGGTATTGTAAATACCTCATGCTATCTGCTCTTCAAAAAGACTTCAGTTAAGACTTAGGACCCAGCTGTCACCTTACAAAATTCATTAGCCAGCCCTGTCACCCACACACCTTGGACTACAGAGATTTTGTTTAACTTCACTGCTATTTCAAAGAAGACACAAATGTCAGCAAGGGTGCGATTTCCTTTGCATTGGCAAGAGACAACTGCTTGTCAGGATGACAGATAAAGCCACTGGAAAAGCCTGTGTTTCTCTTAGGTTAGCCTCCCTTCCCTCAGTCACAAGAAAAAAGAAATACCCCATTACTTTAGTGTGGATAAATGCTGAAAGTAATCTGAGCATGAGGGATGAAATAGATTATTCCTCCTTTAGAGAACAAATAGCTTGAATGAAGAGTGGTGGGAGCCCTGCCTTAACTGGTCTGGAGGAAGCAAGTCCTGACACAAGATGTGCCAAGGGAAGGAAAAGCAGTAATATCTCCAGGGATGCTGGAGACACAGGTCCATCTAACGTGCATCTCCCAGAGCTCCTGCCAGCACTGAATTCTAATGACTCAGTTGAATTCTGCCTAGAATTGAAAGGATGTAACCTGACAAAG